GATTATTTAGGGGAGTACTATAGGGATATCACGGGGGATACTCGCAGTTTAGACTATGGCGCATCTGGAATCTGGAATCTTGCTTGGGCTTGTCCTGGTATGCTGCCTGAAGTGCGTCAGCAGGGCAGTTTGCAGGCCCATAGCCATAGAGGGCCTGTACTGGGTGTCAGAACCCTAGGGTTTAGGGTTTGGGGCTTCGGGTTTAGGGTTTAGATTTTAGGGTTGTGGGGCATCCGGCTCCTGAAGACCCAAGCCCCCTACCTCAAGCCCATAACAGAATGCGCGAGCTCTAGTGCCCAAAGGCAGCACCCTAGGCTTTGAAATCCCCAAGCCCCCAAACCCCAAAATGTTGGATGGGCATGACAGGCGAGCCTTTTCCGTTTCCGGAGTCCGATCCGCAGGGCTCCCGTCTGAATCTGCTGCATGAAAAGGGTTCTCGGTCACAACTTTGGCTGCAAGGATGAACGCGGCTTCGTTTTCCTCATGGGAACTACGGGCTTGGACTTGTCTGTCACAGAAATGCTACACGTTTCGAGAGAATGCCTAATTTGGGGAAACTACTCCAATATGAAACCCCTATAGAACCCTATATATTATAGTAGTTTCCATTTTCTTTTCCATTATCCCAATATGACCCCAATATATTGTTCGTCGTAGATCTTCACAGAGGACCTCCATGCCACTCTGAGGATGCGAGTCCGAAGGCTGTAGTGATTGACTAGGGCACAAAAGCTGCTAGTCAGGGACCCCAAATGGGGATTTCCCAAAATTAGGGGTACCATTTCGGGGGTCCCTATAATAAGGACTATAGTATTTTTGGGTCTATATTGGGGTCCCCTTATTTTGGGAAAGTACCAAATCTTGTGCCAGACCCAAATCACTTCCCAGACATGTGAGATGTGCATGGCAGCCATGAAAATTCCGCATGAAGTCTAAGGCGAGTTTGAGCCCCAAATCCTGGGCCCTGAAACCTAGGCCTCAATCAGGACCAAGAGCCCTAAGCACGCAACCCCCCGCTTGAGGCAAGGTTACTACAAATCTGTCTTCCAGAAGCTTCATCAGCCCGGTCCACAGACACAGAGAACCCAATTTGGACGGGTTTATGAGGGATGTTTTTCCTCAAGCTTGAAGCTATTGTGAACACATAGAGATGCGTGTTTTATGATGCAGAGCTTTAGGATCACAAAAATTTCAGGATGCAGCCTAGCAGATGGCATTCTCCATGTGTTCCGAGGAGTAGCAGGAGGTCCTTGCAGGTTTCTGCAAGTTATGAGTGCACTCCTGAACCCTAAACCCTAAAGAGTAGCTTCCATTCTATTTTACATTATACCACTACAACACCAATATTACCCCAATAATCCCTGTAGCTTCCATTTTCTTTTCCATTATCCCCATATAACCCCTATATAACCCCAATATTACCCCAATGATTCTCTACGAGTGCGATTTCCAGCTGACCGAGGCGGGATCTGCCTTTGATTGGCCACGGCTTGCAGGCGCAACGCCCGTAGCAGTAATTTAGGGTGTAGGGTTTAGGGAATTATCGAGTAGTTTCCATTTTCTTTTTTTAATTATCCTCATAATTTAGGGTTTAGGGTTTAGGGAAATAATGGAGTAGTTTCCATTTTCGTTTCTATTATCCCCATAATTTAGGGTTTAGGGCTTAGGGTTTACGGAAACAATGGAGTAGCTTCCATTTTCTTTTCCATTATACCAACATATCCCCCACATTTCCCCCATATATCCCCTACATAACCCTATACAACCCATCGGGGAGGACAAACTTCCTTGCGAAGCGTAGGAAAAGCAGCAGTCGCTGCAGTCAGTGATGCCGACCTTTCCCAAGTACGGGCGCCTAAACAGTCCAAATACAGGTGAGTGTTCACCAGGAAGTGTTGCGTTAGGGGTTTTTCAGAACTGTAACCCCCTCCCCAAAGTATATACCTGCAAATAAAGGGTCCCAGCACCACAACCCCAAGCCTCCCGAAGCTCGAGACCCCAAATCCTCAAAACTCTGAAAGGCCCAAAACCCTAATTTTTTGAGAAGCTTTGTTATCTGGGAGGCAGACACACTGCGAATTCGGCCTTGGCTGGATCCTGAGATGGTATCTGTTACGAATGACAGCTCCCCATACAAGAGGGTCGCCTTTTTTGTTTTGATGCAATTGCCCGTACACCCCCCAAATGGTTCCCCTTCTCTACCCCAAACAGTACAGTCTTCTACGGACACAGGCCCAAGGAGACCCACTGATGTCATTTGGGGACCCTAAACCCTAAATCCTAAATGGTAGTTTCCATTTTGCTGTCCATCATCCCTATATATCCCCTGTATAACCCTATAAAACCGATTGGTGTAGCAGGCTCTCCTCCAAGGGATCAGTGTGAATGCGATTGCAGAGGATTTGAAGAAGAGCCCGTAGAGTGCAGAGTAGTACTGAGTGTTTTGTGTAGTGTTGCTCATGTTTTTCCTCGATGCATATCCTGGTCATCAAGGCTCTTGATCTAGTAGTTTCATGTAGTTTCAATTGTTTTTGCCATTCCTCCATATTCCTCCTATATAGCCCGATATAACCGATGTAGTCATGATTAACCCTCAACATCCCACTCTGCGCCAGGCCGCTTGCACCGAGGAACCGGAACGAAGCCCATGCGCCGTTCCTGGAGCTCATGAGACAGCAAGGCAGCCGGTGACACGTGGCCCCAGGAATATAAGTTTAGGGTTTAGGGCTTAGTAAGGATGGTTTGCAAGCAGGGGTGCCAACATAGATCCAAATGTACCGCAACCTTGTTATAGAGGCTCTCAAGAAGGGATCTCAGTTTGTTGCACACCCCATCTGCAGGCTGTGGGCAATCTCCGCTTGGGACTGTATAGGGCATGGAGGGAAAGTCTTAGATGGTTTCCTCATGGGTTCTTCTTGCAGATTTCTTGTGGTATGCAATGGTGCCATACGGTACGCTACACTTGGAAGCCCTCACAGGACGACGTGAGCCACCGTTTTCAGGCTTTCAGAGTGGTTCAGGTGCGTTTAGGTTTGGTCAGTATAAAACGAGGTGTCGTCTTAGGGGTAAACCGTTATAGAAACTTCCTGATATGCGCAACATTCTTACTTGTTTGAAGCGATGCTAATCTTGGGCTGCACACGATTTTTTTTTTGGTAGCCCTCATGGGAGAGTCGGAGTATTCTCGGATTGTTCTGGACGTCATCATCAGGATGTCTAGAAGAGCAGTTCCAACTATACGTGTAACAGTAGATCTTTTCTTGGTGATCGTGGTGCCACTGAAGCGATTACCAACATGTAGCGAAGGCAAAAGGTTGTCCTTCAATAGCTGGGTGATATGGCACCTGCAGCGATGTGGTTGTTTCTATACATGGGAGGGGAACCCGAATCTAGAACCCGAAATGTCATAGTCCCAACTATAAGGGTCCCCCTAAAAAAGTATCTCCCCAATTTTTGGAGAAGCCTATAACTTCTATCATCACAATGATCGCAGTTTGTACTTCTATGACAGCCAGGGTGCCGGCTGGATAGGAGAATAAGAAGTCTGACAGGAAGTTGTAGGTCTCTGAAGCCAGAAAAGTAAGTAATATACTGTTGATCAGAATGAACATAGGGTTCAGGATCTAGGGATGCTATTGAGTAGTGTTGGCATAGTAGCAGCCAACCTCAGGACAAGGAGGAGAAAGAAGCATACGAATATATGGGGGTTTGCAAAATTAGGGGTACCGTATTGGGGGTCCCCATAATAAGGATTATAGTATATTGGGGTCTGTATTGGGGTCCCATATTCTGGGAAACTACCATATCTCAAACAAAAAGCAACGCGGGGAAACTTGTAGAGAGGCAGCTGCAGATCTTCACAAGCCAGGCATCTGCAAGCTGGTGCCGACGTTTCATTTGGCGAAGCATTACGCGGAGATGTTGAAGCAAGGCAATCCTTCTTGCAGCAGCTTGTGATGCATGTTCCCACATGGGTTTTTTCCGGTAGTATTTTGGGGTTTATGGTGGCGTCCCTTATTTATAGAAACACCCGAATGCCATTTCGCATTGAGGTGCCAAGTCTTGTTTCGTCAATCTGGCAGCGCAAAGTGTGCCAGGAAAGACGTCGCCGGAGACAAACTCGGACTCCCACCTTGCGACAGACTTTGTTCGGTTCGGAGGCGGGCGCCGCAATGATAGCGAACATGTCTTGCACGCTTCACTGAGTGACGTAAGCATCTCTTTTTTGACGTCACTTCTCAAAGACACATCATCCTTGCTATCATGAGGCCTTTCGCGGCAAGACTCGGGGATTTGTCCTTCCAACTTCTTGAGGTACGGTGGATCCTAATGTCCTCCGCGAGATTGAGATGGTCGGATGGAGACGCAAGCTTACTGCTGCCCACGATCTAGCTTCTGCGCAGATTTCGGGATCTCGTTCGAAGAGCCTTCCGGGGTAAATTCTACTAGTATCGAACATGTCCTGCCACCCCAATATGCCACAGTAGTTTCCATTTTCTTTTCCATTATCCCAATATTACTACAATATACTAGTAGTTTCCATTTTCTTTTCCATTATCCCTATAAACCCCCCAATATACTATAGTAGTTTCCATTTGATTTTCCAATATTACTACAATATACGGTAGTAGTTTCCATGGTGATCCTGAGGCCTCGACCTTTCCCTCGATCTCTTTAAGATTTTGCCGCTTGTGCGGACTGACTGCACGTTGGGCTCCCAGCAGGGTATCTGCAGTAGGGAGCTGCACTTCATAGAGGCATGTGATGGACATGCCTGGACCAAAAAGACACAGTCCTCCCCAAGTAAACCAACCATGTGGGCCAGTATAACATGACTCCTTGGAACCTCTTCATACAGTCCACTAAGAGATAGCCCTAAACCCTCTGGAGCTATCCAGGCTGGAGCCCAAAGATGAGAGCTACTCTATGTACAAGTCCATGCTGGAAGTCATCGTGGCCTGGGCAAAGGACTCAGCGAAGGGGTTTGGCACCAAGGGATGCTTGATATGTGAAGCCTGAAAAAAAAAGACTGCAGATCCCAGGTCCGTCAGCAGGGTATTGCTGGATCTGCTGCCCCAGCACTACGGGAGGCCTTCAGAGCCTGCTCAGGGCTAGGGCTTCTCTTCAGCGGCAGTCGTCCGCGGTGGTGGCGGTGGTGGTGGAAGATGCAGCGTCAGATGGCAGCTCTACACTCTTGCACTTAAGCCATGTGTTGCAGTGGTAGTCCAGAAGACGTGTCAGTCGCAGTTGGAGTAGGGAGGACCCTTGAGAACTACATTCAAAAGTCTGTGGAACAGCCTTATCAGAATGACAGTGCAGAGACTCCAGACTTTGGCGAGGTGCCCTTGTTGGTTCCTCTGGACCTTTCGCAGATTGACTGGACGCAGCGATCTGCCCCTTGGCTCCTTCGGCTATCGTGTAGTCGACAATCCTGGGCCCAAGGTCCTCCTTCTATTGGGATAATGGAAAACAA